TCTCCCATAATGACGGGGTATACTTCTTTAAATACTGGCCGTTTATTGGTAGGTTGTGCCATTCTCCATCCCTATCCCTTAATTGGAATGCGCCTCGGCCCAGGATTCGTTCGATAACAAGCGGTCCCTCCCAGTTAGGTGAGAATTTGCCGAACCGAGGGTCCTTAGTCCCGATAGGAAGCACGGCTCGCCATACCAAGTCGCCTTCGGCGAAAGTCTTTTGCTTGACCTTTCTGTTATAGGCCCTTGCCGCGATTTGCTTCTGTGCCTGCATTAGGTTATAAGCATCGAGTCTGGATTGCTCCAAATCTTCCGACTCCTGAGCCATAGCTTGCGCATAGTCCTTCCTTTCTTCACCAGGCTGTTCGGTCATATGGAGAGACCGAACCTTTAACTCCATTGGAACGATGGCATCATGACCGTAGGTTAAGGCATAAGGAGATGTGCCCGTGGCCGATCGTTTTGTGACTCGGTAAGCCCAAAGGGCTTAAGAGAGTAAGTCGTGCTATGCCCTCGGTTTTTCCTCAATCATCTTCTCAAGGATGCCCTTGATTACCTTGTTGCTCGCCTCGGCCTGTCCGTTAGATTGGGGGTAGTAAGGTGTTGAGTGAACCAATTTAACTGGGCCGTTGTCGGCCGTGATAGTTTCAGGTATACTGAACCTGTGGACGATGTGTTTCTCGAAGAATTTGACCACCTGTGCGCTAGAAATTGACCGATAGGACTCCGCCTCGACCCATTTAGTAAAATAGTCGGTTGCCACCAAAATCCATGCGTGTTGGTTGGACGCGGCCGGATAGATTTTGCCGATGATATCCACGGCCCAACCCCTGAACGGCCATGGTTTGGTAACCGGGTGGAGGGCTTCGTCCGGTACCCTTTGTATGGGGCCGTAGATCTGGCATTTGATACACCCCTTCGCATACTCTATGTAATCTTTTAAAATGGTCGGCCAGTAATAGCCGTGCCTTCGAACCAACCACCTCATCTTGAAGCCAGACTGGTGAGCGCCGCAAATCCCCTCGTGGGATTCGGTCATGATAACCTTGATGTCTCCGGCACTAGGACATAGGAGCAATAAGCCGTCCGATCCCTTTCGATACAGCTCGTTTTGATAAATCAAATAACACCGAGCCTGGAAATGCGTGGTCCTCTCATGGCTGCCGGAGGGGTCGCGCAGATACTTTACTATGGGGTAGCGCCAATCGGCCTCGGCCGTGTTAACTTCGTCGATGACCTCGGCCGATGATACTTGCGTTGTCATTCCTCGTTCAGCCAAAGCTGGCAAGGTACGCCTCTCGACTCTTATCACACGATCATGGTCATCGTCCGGAATATTCACGCCTGACGCTACCTGGGCCATCTCATTGGCCTCATGATTTTCGGCGCGCGGTACGTAGACAAAGGAAATCCTAGAAAATTCATCGGCCGCATTGAGGGCCGTTACATAATACATAGTTAAATTCTCGCTCGTGCACTGGTATTCCCCGGTCAATTGGTTAATCACCAGCTGAGAATCGCCGTAAACCAAGACACGGGTTGCCTTCATTTCTCTCAGAATTTCGAGACCGATGATGAGTGCCTCGTATTCGGCCTGATTGTTGGTGCATTTGAAATCGAGCTGGAACTCAAATTGCCACCTTTGTCCTTGAGGGGATTCTATCACGACTCCAGCTCCGGACCTGGCCTCGGTCCTGGAGCCGTCGAAGTACATGGTCCAGTAGTTATTTTTCATGCGGGTGAGCCAAGAAATCGACCAATGCCTGACCCTTAACCGACTTCTGAGCCACATATTGGAAGGTGAATTCGGACAATGCCATCGTCCATTTCCCAATTCGGCCGCATATGATCGGCCGAGTGAGCATATATTTGATGAGATCGGTCTTGGAGATGATCTGAACGATCGAGGGGAGCATATAATGGCGCAACTTGGTAGCCGCGAAATAAAGCGCTAAGCATAGTTTCTTGATCGGCGAATAGTTTAGTTCGGCCATGTTAAGGGTACGACTCAGGTAGTGCACTACTTGCTCTCGTTCTGACTCGTTGTTTTGAGCCAGCAGACAGCCGATAGAGCTCTCCGAAGCCGAAATGTAAAGTCTCAAGGGTTTCCCTCTTTTCGGCGGCATAAGGACCGGTGGTTGAGATAAATATTTCTTGATATCGTCGAGGGCCGCTTGATGTTTAGCTCCCCATACGAACCGTTCCGTGTCTTTCAGTTTGAGCAGAGGGGTCAACGGCCGGATTTTCCCTGCCAAATTGGATATGAACCGCCTTAAAAAGTTGACCTTACCGAGGAAGGACTGGAGCTCCTTCTTGGTCCTTGGCGGAGGGGCCACCATAATGGCCGTAGCTTTATTTTTATCTACCTCGATTCCTCGTTGGTGAAGTAAGAAACCGAGGAAATTCCCGGCGGTGACGCCGAAAGCACACTTCTTCTGGTTCATCTTTAGGCCGTGTGCTCGCATTCGGTTGAAAGCCTGTCAGGAGATGTCCTACGTGGTTGGCTTTGGATGGGGACTTTACAACCATGTCATCGATGTAGACTTCAACGGTCCGGCCTATAAGGTCGTGGAAAATAAGGTTCATAGCTCGCTGGTATGTCGCGCCGGCATTCTTTAGGCCGAACGGCATGACCATCCACTCATAGGTTCCGATTGCGCCCGGGCATCGGAATGCCGTTTTGTGGACATCTTTCTCGGCTATGAAGATTTGGTTGTAACCAGCATGGGCGTCCATGAAAGACAGGAGTTTGTGCTTTGCGGCTCCGTCTACCAGGAGGTCTGACATATGCATGGGGTACTCGTCCTTTGGGGTTGCAAGATTCAAATTTCTGTAATCGGTGCAAACCCTCAAAGCCCCAGTCTTCTTCAAAATTGGTACGATGTTGGCCAACCACTCAACGTATCGGGGTCGAGAACCGCCTCGGCGATTGTTGGAAAGGCCTAAACCCCTCTTTGATTTTTAATTCGTGCTCAACCAAACTTCTCGGCAATCCAGGCATCTCATGGTAATCCCAAACGAAACAATCCTTATATTCATGGAGCAGGCCGATAATCTCGGCCGCTAACTCCGGGTCCAAAAGCTGGCTTACAAAAAGAGGCCATGGCTCGGCCTCCGACCCTACATTTATTTCTAATAAAGGGTCCTGGACCTCGGGGTAGTCATCCTCCATCCCGGCGGGCACCATTTCTAGGTCGTCAAAAGTCAAAGAGTCCGTCTCGTCTGACTCGTGGAGGAATTCGATCAGGTTGATTGGTGAGTTTGGTCGCAAGGATTCCTTCGCCCAATGTTCCAGCAGTCTTTGCAGCAGGTCGGTCATGGTCGCCGCTCCTTCTTCTTTAGTGGCTTTGTTTGTCATCTAAAGGCTGGTGAGGTCGATCAATACTTCGCGCACCGAATCCTGTCGGACATTCTCGGCGCCTAACTCCAGCACTTTTTGGGCTGTTGTCCTGGTCGGTCGGCCGCTTGCATCGTGGCCGGTGAGGACAACCCATCCAACATCGTCGTCGTAAATCCGCGCTTGCACGGCGTTGGTTTCAAAGGGTTTTTCGTCGGCCAGGTGTATGGACACCCTCTGGCCGTCCCAAAAGAAAAGCAGTTGGAAGAGGGAGGACGGTATGCATCCGGATTGGTGGATCTAGTCACGACCGAGCAATATATTGTAGTCCACACTGGATTCGACTACGTAGAATGCTGCGACCCTTGTCTGGTCGGCCACAGTGATTTTTAACAGCAATACCCTGATGGTTTTAGATTTATCGCCGACAAAACTGCTCATGACCACGTCGCTGGGGATGAGGTCCTTCTTTGATTTGTCCAGCTTCCTCATCAGGGAATAGGGAAGGATGTTGAGGACCATGCGAGAAAATAGAGGTAAGCCATGATGATGATGAAGATGAAGAAGAAGAAGAAGAAGTTGTTGTTATTATTGTTGTTTTTTTGTTTTTTGTTTTTTGTTTTTTTGTTTTTTGTTTTATGCAATGTTTGAAGTTAAATAAAGTTTGTTTTTAACACTTAGAAAAAAAAAAACTAACTAACCATACCACGTAAATAAATACATAAACTAACTTAACAAAACAAAAACAAAGACTCAACAAAAAAGAAAACAAAGAAAATTAAAAAAACTTAATTTAAAAACACACGAATATACAAGCAACTCACGGATGACCAGTTAAGGGCCTCAGAAAACACAGCCAGGGGATCCGGGAAGGTTGGAGGGGTCACAATGGTCCCGCTTAAAACCCAAACTTCTTAGACACCGAAGGTGTCGCCTAAAGAACTCCTAGACACTGTATTTACGGAAGTGCTTACTGGAGTTACCATAAGTCAGCTAATATGAAAAATCTTTTTTTTTTTAATATTTAATTTTTTATTTAATTTTTTAAAGATATTCTCGTAAGAAAAAGAAACAAAAACAAATTAAGATAACATGAAACAACAAACCATAAACGAAAATGAACTAAGTAATCTAAACAAATTCAAACAAACGAAATAAATTGTTGTACTAAAAGAAACAACTCAAGAAACCAAAGAAAAACACAAACAACACTTTTTATCACCCTTTTATCACCATTTGGACAGATTCGTTTCTCTGTTTTTCAGCTTCGACTTCTGTTCAGTTTTTAGCCTATAACTTTCCAACCGTAAGTCCAAATTTCACATTCTTTATATGGTTGGATTTAGCACAGAAAAACAAAGAACTCACCGCAGACCAAAAGGCAAAAACAATTATGGAAATAAACAGAATTCAAAGAAGAGAAAGGATTGAAATGCTCCCCCTTGAAGCGATTAGGTCGAGCATGGATGCACTTGGAGGTCGACTTCTCCCACTGCTCCACACTTCCCATTCTTATGATTGAGGTTGCCATCTCTCTCCATATTTATTAAGCTATCATAAATTGCTAAAACAAACACACAAACTTGAAATGGAATTAAAATGATTAGGAAATAAAAACTAAAATAAAAAGGAAAATCAACACACATCCAATTCCATGCTTCAAAGCAACAAGCACCAATGGGTTGTGTAAGCTGGGACTTAAACCCAGTTCTTTTGCTTGTTGGGCAATTGTCTTTTTCTGTTGGACTACAAACACAACTTGTCCATTAACGTCATTAACTTTAAAACAAGAAATTGTCCAGTTAAGAAAAAAATACAATAAAGTAGGAAAGCCAAATAGAATCAAACAATGTTACCGATCCCCGGCAACGGTGCCAAAATTTGTTGTTAATATTATGTTAACTCGCAATTGTACGGGGCAATTAGTAGTATAGCAAGACAAGTACGAGGTCGTACCCACGAAAACTGAGAAGTTAAAACTAGTTATGTACTTACCAAATTCAAGAAAGTAGGAGGTTATGTCTAAAACAGAATTTAAAGCAAGAGTGGTTGTGATTGTTGAATAAAATAAGCAAAATGAAATTGCAAACAAGAACAAGTAAACAAATGTAACAAAGAGTGGTTTTAAGAGATGGAAAATAGATTTGGAGACTAGGGCATTCGAATCACTATAACAATTCAATTCTGGGTTATAATGAATCAAGTAACAAGTCTAATTCATATTCAAAGATTGATTCTAGCTAAAGTATGATTAGGCCATGGTGTCTGGTTCTAACCTTGTATTCCTAATTCCCCAATTTGATCATTTGTTGTCTAACCTAAAATTAAGCATTAGGAACCCATTAAGCATAGAAGAACAATTTAAACAACCAAGCATGTACTACAAGAAAATAGGCCTTAGTTGACACTTCATAGTTGACGCTTATTGAAAAACCATCAACTATTCTACTAAACCATGACACTTTTCAATAAACGTCAACTATATGCTAGTGTTTCATGACGTTTAATAAAAAACGTCAATTAAAACACTCTATACTTGACACTTCTTAACAACCATCAAGGAAGACCCATTATACTTGACGCTTTTTTAAGAAAAATAAAAAATAATAATTTAGATAGAGTTCGCGAGAGGTTCCAAATCAACTCGTTCTTTTTATCTCTCTTTTTTTTTTTTGGTCGAACTCGTTCTGTTTATCTTGTCCACCACCTCAATTGAAAACCCAAAATTCAAGCCCTAGGTTTTTCCACTTTTTCAAGTCTGAAATTGGAAACACAAATTAGAAGATGAAACAAATTTGAATCGCAAATCAGTGGGTTCTTGCTCTGTTGGTTGGGGCAGCCATGACATCCCCTACACTGTACTATCTCTCTTCCTAGATCTGAAGCCACCATTGTGGGAGCAAATATTTTCGTCTCCAATCAGAGCACGCCACGTGGAAAAGAAGATTATCCCTTAAATTAATTAATTAAACCATTTATTGGGATAATTAATTAATCAGGATAATATCTTAGTTATATGGTATTATCTC